AAGTAATGAGTGCACAATTGATTTATTAGATTTTTATTATAATATGTTTATATTCCACTTTACAAATTCTTACAATATTCCTGATGCAAAAATCCCTTCTTTTTCAGAGTAGTTTTTGGCCTTAACTGGTCTTAATGATCTTCATACAAACATAATCACAGTATACATGTAATTTGTATAATAAATTACTTCAAAAAACAATAGCAAAAACAAAAAGGTCAGTATAACTGAACCACAAAATTTGCACCAAGTTTCAAACAAAACTGAAAATGTAAGGAGAACAACCATTCTTTGAAACAAAACAGATACCAAAGTTAAAATAACACAGAAAAACAAGAGCAGTATACAATCACAAAACGCCTAAACGGGCTTCTAGGATGATGTTCCTTCCTTTAATATGCTAAACACTAAAGCTGGACTTGAAACATCAAAAGCAAAATTGGCATATAGAATAACATACGATACATTCAAAACATCAATGAGAACTTCGAAATGAGCGAAAAACACGTTCAAAGTAAAGTGACGATGCATTCAAGACAAAAAAAAAACAAGATCAATTGCTTGATCTAATGACTCAAATGTAACACTGTAACGTTTCTGTGCAATTACTGATTGACTCAGTTTATGGCAACGTAATTGAGATCAGGCATCGAATGTACAAAACTTTCATCGTGATAGTCTTGATCTACAATCCTGATTAATAACATTATATATTGTCATCAGTGTGCTGATGTAAGAACAGCAACTTTCTTTTTTTGGAGTTTTTATACATACAAACGACACATCACAAATTGGAGGCATGGTTTAACATCGGGATAAACAAATCCAGGTTACCATAGTTTACCCATGCATTTCTAAGTGGAAAATAAAAGAATATCCACCAAATTTTTAATTCAAGTGTGAGGGCGACCATTTTTAACTTGAGTTGTGGGATGTACACTCAGAACTGCCAGATATAAACTTAGAATTGCTAAATATAAACTCAGAATTGCGAGTTCAAAACTCAGAATTGAGAGACATAAACTCAGTTGTGGGATGTACACTCAGAACTTCCAGATATAAACTTAGAATTGACAGACATAAACTCAGAATTGAGAGATATAAACTCAGAATTGAGAGACATAAACTCAGAATTGCGAGATATAAACTCAGAATTGCGAGATATAAACTCCGAATTGCGAGATATAATCTCCGAATTGTGAGACATAAACTCAGAATTGTGAGACATAAACTCAGAATTGTGAGACATAAACTCAGAATTGTGAGACATAAACTCAGAATTGTGAGACATAAACTCAGAATTGTGAGACATAAACTCAGAATTGTGAGACATAAACTCAGAATTGTGAGACATAAACTCAGAATTGTGAGACATAAACTCAGAATTGTGAGACATAAACTCAGAATTGTGAGACATAAACTCAGAATTGTGAGACATAAACTCAGAATTGTGAGACATAAACTCAGAATTGTGAGACATAAACTCAGAATTGTGAGACATAAACTCAGAATTGTGAGACATAAACTCAGAATTGTGAGACATAAACTCAGAATTGTGAGACATAAACTCAGAATTGTGAGACATAAACTCAGAATTGTGAGACATAAACTCAGAATTGTGAGACATAAACTCAGAATTGTGAGACATAAACTCAGAATTGTGAGACATAAACTCAGAATTGTGAGACATAAACTCAGAATTGTGAGACATAAACTCAGAATTGTGAGACATAAACTCAGAATTGTGAGACATAAACTCAGAATTGTGAGACATAAACTCAGAATTGTGAGACATAAACTCAGAATTGTGAGACATAAACTCAGAATTGTGAGACATAAACTCAGAATTGTGAGACATAAACTCAGAATTGTGAGACATAAACTCAGAATTGTGAGACATAAACTCAGAATTGTGAGACATAAACTCAGAATTGTGAGACATAAACTCAGAATTGTGAGACATAAACTCAGAATTGTGAGACATAAACTCAGAATTGTGAGACATAAACTCAGAATTGTGAGACATAAACTCAGAATTGTGAGACATAAACTCAGAATTGAGAGATATAAACTCACAATTGCGAGATTTAAACTCAGAATTGAGAGATATAAACTCAAAATTTGCAAGACTTAAACTTGTGAGATGTAAACTCAGAATTGTAAGATAGAAACTCAGAATTGCGAGTCTTAAACTTGTGAGATATAAACTCAGAATTGTGAGACGTAAACAGAATTGCGAGACTTAAACGTGCGAGATTTAAACTCAGAATTGCGAGATTTAAACTCAGAATTAAGAGATATTAACTCATAATTGAGAGATATAAACTCAAAATTTTCAAGAATTAAACTTGTGAGATGTAAACTCAGAATTGTAAGATATAAACTCAGAATTGTGAGACATAAACTTAGAATTGCGAGATATAAACTCAGAATTGTGAGACATAAACTCAGAATTGCTAGATATAAACTCAGAATTGAGAGATTTAAACTCAGAATTGCGAGATGTAAACTCAGAATTGTAAGATAGAAACTCAGAATTGCGAGACTTAAACTTGTGAGATATAAACTCAGAATTGTGAGACGTAAACAGAATTGTGAGACTTAAACTTGCAAGATTTAAACTCAGAATTAAGAGATATTAACTCATAATTGAGATATAAACTCAGAATTGCGAGACTTAAACTTGTGAGACGTAACCTCAGAATTGTGAGATATAAACTCAGAATTGCGAGACTTAAACTTGTGAGACGTAACCTCAGAATTGTGAGATATAAACTCAGAATTGTGAGATATAAACTCAGAATTGCGAGATATAAACTCAGAATTGAGAGACATAAACCTAAAATTGAGAGACGTAAACTTGCAGGACATAAACTCAGAATTGCGAGACGTAAATGCAAAGTTGATGAATGATGAATGTTAATTGGTTAACAGTATGTTACATTACCATATGTAGTAAAACTGTATATTTAACAAGCACTTTTATGGTAAATAGTTTTTGAAATTATTAAAAATGTATAAAACATTTTATGTAAAAACTTTTACATACTTTGTGCTATTTATTACGTGTTTTACATGTTTAGCGTTATTTTAGTGTTGTGTGTAACCTCAATGCGTTTTTTCTATTGTTAATTTTCTTCATAAAAATAATTGCTTAACTATGGTAACCAGTATTTCCCCCACCTCCTGAGCGTATGCCAGATGTGCAACTTGAATCCCGTCTGTTCCCTTGTTTTTTCAAAGCCGTTATGCTGTATTAACAATCACTTAACAATATAGAATTCAGCACAATAAATATAGAAACACAATACAAAACAAGGCCTCAGAAAGTGTGTCTCTGAATTGTTCTCTGAGAGATAACGTGAGTGAACAGCGCTAGAATCCTGACATTTCATCCAGGTATCGCCTGCTAAGAAAATCCCATGAAAAATAGCTAATATTCCACATTTTGGGGAATTTCGCAATTAATTATGGAATATTCAAGCTGTGTTCATTAGTTCCTGGATATTATCATAGCTGTGTATGTGTGTGTGTGTGATTTAACAGTCCGAGTCACAAAGTCATCATCGCGGCATTGACGTGGCATTGAGATAGAGGGTGTGCGGTCACAGTAAGACGCAGTGCAGCCTCTGGGAACCCGAAGGTCTGTCCGCCCGCCATTTGGCTTTCCTCTTCTTCTTCAGGCCCCGTTCTGGGATCTGCTGACTGTAAACCCAAATGAACTTCAAAGCTATTGAGCCGAATGGGAATGCTAACACATAGTAGCTAGCGGAATCGGTCAAATTGGACTCACCGTATCACTCTGACGAGCTCGTGAAACGCTTTGTCTACATTCATGGGCGGATCCTTTGCACTCGTTTCAATATACGTGATCTGTGATGAAGACATAAAGATTCAACAATTAGTAGATGTAGACGTTATTAATATATATATATATATATATATATATATATATTATTCATATT